ATTTCATATACACACACACACATATATATATTTGTATAAATTTGACAATGTAAGGACTAAATTTTAAAAAATAAAACTTGAAAAAGAGTATAATTCATATGTATACGATTTATGTATATGTAGCATTGTTCATTTATTAATCACTATGTATGTATCAAACTTAGAAAAACTTTCCCAAATTGCAAGTCCCCCCCTAACCACAACTAAGTCAAGTTTTATTTCAAAATTTACTTTTTCATTTTCAATCTTTCATTATAGTAATTCTTTTCGCCATGATAAGTAGATTTTTAAATCTTTTAATTTCGAACAAAATGTATAGTATCTCATAAGACTCGTACAATAATTCAAAATTAGCACCAACTAAGGGGAGGCCAACCATGGTGTGAACCTAACACCACATATTTAGAGTATCTTATTGGCCAAAACATAACCAATGGCATTCACATATGTGGCCCATCATTTTTTTTTTAAATATAGTAACTAGAATGACATGTCCATTCACTAATAGTAGTGCTTTTATATATTTCTAATTATGCATTTTCTATTCTATAATAATATATAAAGCAGCCTGATTTTGGCAAAAGTATAGGTATAGGCAGTATCAAATTTTTAACTTTCAAAAACTTATATATTTTCAATTTCAATTTAATTCAAATAGTTTACTCATTTCTCTTAAAAGATAAATTCTCACAAAGCTAAATTTATATATATTTGAGCTGAAGTTATATTCTTGAAATTCAATTTTCCAAACTTACAAATTTTTTTCTCGACTATATTTTGACCACCTTTATAATATATATATATATATATATATATTACACGTATATTATGATAGCAAATTGACAGGAATGCTTTAAGGACACTATCAAGTAGAGAGCTATTATTAATTTCATTCACCAAAAAAAAAAAATTTTGAGGGTATACTTTGGATGACAAAAGAGGAAAGAAATTATATTCTGCTAGCAGTTGAAATTTGCATGGAACCTCCATAATTCTTGATTGCACTTTTTGAGGTTTAGTCCGTGTGGATTTGCTCGTTAATGAGTGCTCTCCCTCGGGCATGGTTTTTTTTTTTTTTAGATGTTTAATAGTACGAGGATCTTCTGTCTGAAACGACACCCTTTGATTACTTGTCTGATCAAAATAGTACTTTAAATAAAAAATTAAGTTAAAACAAACCAAAAAAAAAGGAAGGATTATACCCCATTTTGATTTTGATTTGATTGGAATGAATGAACGTCAAACTTGCCTTTATCTCCTGACCTAAAGATGAGCAGGAAGAAAAGCCTTGATATGCCCTTCCTTTCTCTCCCTTTCGCCATGCTGTTTGTATGTTCTATTTTTTTTTCATGTATATGCTCTCCCATTTCTTCTCCCTCAAGTTTTTGCTCTATATTCCCCTATTGCTGTTCTAAAGATAGCTACCGAAATACAAAATACCTACAACTTGGAGAATCTCCTTGGCACCCGAAGCAACTAAACTTCAAAAAGGAAAAAAGTTAGTATATAATATTATCAATTTACTTTTTAACTCTATAAAACTATAAATAAAATTAAAAGATTAATATATATTTTTAAAATTTTTAAATATATCTTAATATATATTATTTAACTAATCCGTTTGTGAAGTTAAAAACTACACGACAATAAATAAATATTTTGTCTAAAAAGAATAGGATCGAAGAAAAACAATTTGGTCATGGATAATGGTCATGGCAAAAAGGAGATCATATCTCTCTAGCTAGGTATGGTCCAAAAGAAGGATTTTTGTTTTTGTTTCCTCTTGTTAGAATTTTTTTTCCCTTTTCCTTTTATAAGTTTATTTCATTTTATTTTATTTTTTTCCTTTTTCAAAGGTGAGTGTGATTATGAGTCAAGCTTATTTCGTCCTCCTTTTTTCCCCTTTTCCTTTTGCTTGTTGGGGCCTCTCAAACAAAGTTGTCTCATATACTTTGAGGGTCAGACCTACAAAAAATTCTCCTTCTTGCATTTTGGTCCATATTTTTTTAGGGTCATATAGTTTTTATGGGTCATATGGAAGACATTGCTCATCATTTCACTGAAAAACAAGTGAATTTCATTAGCTCTTTGGTGTCCATAACTTTTCTTTTTCATATAATTAGATGCGCCACCTTCCACAACTCACCCTGATTATACTAGCATTAGATTTGAATAATAATTGTAAAAAAAAGTACTGTGGTTTTATTTATATTCTTTTCAAGATTTTTTTGGCTAAAGTGATCGAAGTTGTGCTTTGTCTAATAATGATATTTGATAACAAACACAATAATGAAGTTTTAACTAGCCAGAGTAACAGTTTGTTGTTTGAACTTTGAAGTGATGCATCAGCACTTGCTGAAAAAATTTAGCAGGACCACTTAAAAATGATGTGGATCTGCAAATTATGTGAAATTTCCTTGGATTTCATGTTAATTTCATAAGAAAAACATGGTATCCTTGTCGTAATATATCTTGAATTTAACGAAAATTAGAAGATGAAAAGAAGAAAAACTCATAATAAATCATAGCTTTCTAAAATATTGAGAGGAGGAGATTGGTGTCCCCATTAAATAGGAATTTGAAGACAAAGGTAGTGATTGGAGCCAAGGGAGACAAAGCTGTCTCCTTTGTGTATTGGAATATCAATACAAGGCAAAATAAAAAATTATTTATACATATATATTCTCTCGTTGTAGGATGCTTGGTCTCCTTGACAAGGTCATGGAAAAATGCAGTATAATTATAAAACTAATAATATTGTCGAAAAACAACTTAGATAATGGGAAAAGATCAGAATAAAATACATTAAGGGAGGGGCTGCCTTGGGATTTTAAGTAGTAAAAAGTCTGTACGTTCAACTGTTGGGCAGAAAAAAAAAATTTAAAAAGGAATAATGAGCTTCAGTTAACCTCATGTGATGTTAATGTGTTCTTCTTATTCAGGCTTTTTTTTCCTCTTTAATATTAAAGAAAATTCAAAGACGTTGAATAATTATAATGGGGTTAGACCCATAAAACTTTTCATTTTGTAATTAAGAGGATTCTTGTTGCCAGAATGCACGTACATGCATGCATGAATACGTATATAAGTATTTATTAGGTACGTGCTTTATTTGTTTAAAGTATAGTCATTTTCAAATAATATTATTGCAGAAAAAAAAAATGTGATAACACTGATATGTATGTGGAGAGATAGACAGAAGATGAGTTGCCTGATGGGAAGAACAATGGCCCCAAGGGGTAAGGGGGGGTCAATTGCGGTGGAGCTGGTCTGTCTCCCCAGCAAAAGGGTAAGTTATTAAATGGTCAATAAATGCCAATTGGGTTTCTGATTTGTGATTAGTTTAATACTGTTGGTTGATCCGGAGAGTGTTGCAGAACAGTATACAGAGAAATTGGTAAGCCCCGGCCAGGGCCATATATATCAACTGACAATTGTGGTGTTTCTTTCGTGGAGAGGTTTATTATACAAAAAATTGTCTAGAAAGAAAGAGAAAATTACTAAATTTTGTACCCTATCGATTTTTTTTTGGCCTGGTTCATAGTATTCTTCCTCATTATCATCATTGTTGTCTTGGAACCATTGCAATATTGCATACATGCATTCACTATAACAGGCTGAATTTTGATAGCTGTTTGTGAGAGAGATGGTCAAAGACTCATTGATATGTCGTTTCATGCTACAGTTTATCCATCAGAAGAGGGCATGTATGCACTGTAGGCGGCATAAGTGTGTGCTGCAGATTTGCCCAACTAACAGAGCTTGGGCTCCACAATGTTTTCAGATTTTTGGCCCTCATCACCCCTTTGCCCATGCCTTTCTCTCTCTAAAGAAAGCTGCCAACAAGATCCATCCTACTTCCATCCCTCCTACTTCTCTTATATAACTACTAGTACTACTATTATTGCTCCTCTCCCATTCCCATATCATATTTTTACCATTACCCTATGCTAAAAAGCTAATCATTTGCTTTGAATTTTCCAAGTAATAGTGAAGCTCTCTGATATGGTATACGTTCCATCCATCAAAAAACACACTCCCCACTAACCAAAGCAAAAAGGCATCAAATGCACTCCACAAAAAGCTGATTTATTTGCAGGATGAAAAGCCTATCTCAACTACATTTGGAACAAAATATACTCACTTGTCTTGTTATCCAGTGATGATCAGCTTGCTTTATATATGTACATCCCTTCACTACCCATTTGTGAGACTTGTGGGAGTGGTGAAGACTCGTGAGGATCTTAAAAGGAAAAATTGAATTATTAAAGCTACAACTCACAAAAGAAAACCCCACAACTATTATTCATATATGTATATATATATATATATATATATCTTCGTTTTCAACCCCTAAATGTTAGAATTAGCGACTAGTGGTCATCTCTTATATTTCCACAAAGCTTTAGTATACTCTTTTTTTCTTCTTTTTAACTTTAATTTATTCCCTCAACTAAACTATAGAAAATTGAACACAAACAATACATATATCCCTCCAGGTTTTGTCAAAGGTCTATCACTCAATCTTTCCAAGTAGCTACGGCTATGACATCACTGACAGTTTCCTTTTCATCATGTCTACTGCCTTTTTGTAATTCAGCCCTCTCTCACTCACATATATACACACTTGTATTAATTTGTATGTATGTGCATAAATACGGGGGATAATTTAGGATTTCCATGGTTCAAAATGGGAGAAAACAGAATAAATATAATTAATTTCCATAGACAGAATGACATATTGGCATTATTAAAAAAAAAAAACCAATAAATCCTTCTCATAATTCACAAAAGATCATTCAAGTAAAAAATCTAAAGACGAAACTAGATATGCTTTAAACAATTGACTGGGATAAGGAAAAATAACATGCACTTTTCCTTGCGAAACATTTCATAATTATATAAAAAATAGATTTTCCATTATTTCTTTTCAATGAATATATCATAGCTAGTTATCTGCATTTAATGCATCAATATACTTTGCCAACAAGGGTCTTTAGTTTCAGCTTCCGTTTTCCATTTTGGTGACTAATAGTTTAAGCAGTATGATTATTCACCATGCCTATGCCGAGGAAGATTGAAAAGCACACTGCAAAGAGAAAGAAATTACCGAAATGATCAGTTGAAAGGGAAATGGATATTCAAGAACTTAGCCTAACTTGGAGGTTAAGGATCCTACATTAATAAGGAAAACAAAACCAAAAGGAGGAAAAAGGTGGCTTCTCCAAGTAAATTGATTGTTATATATATATATATATATAGTTCTTACTTTGGAAGCCTGGCAAACAAGCTTTATAATTAGAAGAGTTAATTAACCATTACTTCATAGCCTTAAATTTTATTTCCATTTATCTATCACTGCATTGACTCATTATCTTGTTCCACTTCAGATGCAGGTTCATCATCTTCCTCCAAGCCATCGATGCCATAAACTGCATGGCCATTCCCAAAAGCCTTTATGTGGTCTTTAAGAGATCTCTTATGCTTGAAATCGGAGCCACAAATGCAGTACCAGAGCTTCCCACAGTTCTTCTCATGGGTTCTCCAGTCTCCTCTCACAGCAAATGCCTTGCCACATTTTCTGCACATGAATGGCTTGATACCATGCTTCCTCTTGTAATGTGTTTGCAGGGTTCTGAAATCTTTGAGTGGCTTTGCTCTTGGATGATCAATGTTGTTCCTGCACCCTGGTGTACAACAATAGCAAGGCAGCCTTAGCATTCCTGTTGGCTGGGTTCCCCTAAGTGATTCAGGCCCTTTCCTATACTGAGATCCATGCCCCCACATATGCATCTGAAGGAATTCAATCAAAGAAAAAAATCAGCAGAAGCCAACAAAAATTAAAATAACCAAAGTTATCCGTAATTACGCTAAGACCAAAACCTTGGTAGTACAAGTATATATTGGTACCTGACAAAAACAAATTAGGATACTCGATACAATTTTTGGTGTATTTGGAAGAGTGAGAGTTTTTTCCTCATAGAACTCTACATTATATGAGTAACATTTTTCTTGTAATACAATTGTTGGTATGTTTCCAAAATAATTGTCATTATTGTCTTCTTAAAAAGGAAATAAATTTTCTTCATGAAGGAAAAGAAAATTTCTCAGCTCAACCACAATTGTTGATCCCATCCCTACGTTGAGGAGTGAATTTCAGTTTGAATGAGTTTCTCGGTTTTAGAAGATGGAGAACCGATGGGATTTTTATGCCTGAAAAATCTGCAAAAATTTCAGTTGTACGCTGCCTGGCAATGAGTAAAGCACAAACTTCAAAGTACCAAAGTCATAAGGAACATTGCCTGTGTTGTTCAATCACCAAAAAGAAGGTACTGATCTCGAACTTAGTATGAATCAGAACGATTTATTCAAACCATGAAACCCACAAGCCATGCAACAAAAAAATAAAGAACAGAACCCGAAGATTTACGTATTCAAAAAATGTGTTAGAAAAGAAGAAGAAGAAGAAGAAGAAGAAGAAGAAGAAGAAATGCCTATTTGATAAATCTGCTTTTATTTCTTCTTTAAAATCAAAGCATGGGAAAAAAAAGGGGGGGGGGGGCGCTTAAGATTCAAAGTCATAAGAAGAAAAGACTTGGGATGTATTTGTTTTTTCCATTTATCTTCTTTGATATTGGAAAAAAAAGGCTAAAAAGAGAGAGGGAAAGAGATCGAAGAAAGGAAGGAACTAAAGGAGGCAATAATTCAAAGTAATGAAAACTTACTTGCATGTTGTTGTATCTATTGAAGGTTTTGTAGCAAACAGGACAAGAGAACTGTGTAGGGCCAATAAGAATCTGAGAAGGGGTAGGGATCCAATACTGTCCCTTGTTGAGTCTGTTAACTGGGTATCCAGAATCATCACCATCCCCATCTTTGTCAGTGATCTCCGAGGAAGATGATAAAACCGAAGCCAACTCTGAAGCACTAGGGTTTGGTAACCCTATATGCAGTGCAACGGTAACAGTTTCATCTTCATCTGCTGCTGCATCAGCAGCAATACCATTAGTGAAGAAAAGCCGCCCTTCCTCTTTCCCTTTGCTCTTGTCTACATCCATGGTGGAGCAAGAATATTGCTCTTGGTCTTGATCTAGATCTTCATCATCCTGTTCCTGGTCCTCTTTCTCATACCTTGTTGGACTCAAGCTCAATAGTGGCAAGGCTTCTCTAACGGGAGGGGAAGGAGGTGATGATGATGAGCAGGTGGTTTGGTAGTGGAAAAAAGGGTGGTTATTGCTGGTTTCATTTGTGATGAAGCTGGTGCTGTTGCGGTAGAAGTTTTGGGTGTAGGAATTAGGGTGGTGTTGGGGAGGAGGGTTTGGAGATGGGTAATGTTGAAAAGGGTTGAACTTGAACCAACCTGAGAAGAAATTGGAGTACGGGTAGTCAGCCATGGTTGAAAAAAAAAAAAAAACAAATAAAGAAAGAAAGAAAGAAAAAAGGTGTTTTGAAGGGATGGAAATTCAGAACAGCTTGGGCTTGATTGATTTGCTTTTATAGATAGAGAGAGAGAGAGAGAGAGAGAGAAGAGTGTGAACGGTGGGGAGAAAGTGATTACAGTGCTTAACAAAAACATATTTTATTTACTAAAGCAAGGGGAAAGATAAGAATCACCAGCGTTTAGCAAAATATTGTGAGATTAATTTATGTAATTATTTTAAAGAGATCATATTTAATAAATTTAAGATTTAAATTTTAATATTTATAATATTTTTCATGTTTTTAGGTTGCGAATTTTTTATATTAAAAATAAATTTTAAAAATTATATTAATTCATATAATTATTTTATTTATTCAAGATAAAAATATGTATAACCACCAAAGTGAAGATAAAAACAAATATGAATTTAATTCGTTTGATTTATAAAATCAAATTTAAAAAATTACATTCAATAATTTTAAAAGTAGAATTTTAATATTTATAAACTTTGAGAATTCTTTTTGTTAAAAAAAAAAACGCAAAACAAAAACAGAAATTGAAAATTCTTTTCATATTTTTGTTTACTCAATATTTGTTAGAAGTACGAAGAGAATATAGGGAAACATCATTATTGGCCGTTTTATGGTAAAACTTGGATTTCTAGTTAACCAACAGTAATACCTATTTGTTCGACTTACTGAATGAAATACCCTTCATAGTCTTTTCAAATTACCCACATGAGCTAGAGAACTTGCTGCTTTGGAAGAGATTATGCTGAACTTGGCCGCTGAGCAATAACTAGGGTTTTTTTTTTTTTTTTTTTTTACAACTAAAGATGGAAATAGAATAAAATGGATCAATTGTCATAGTCCACATCCCAATGAAAAAAATTCGAATAGTCGATGCTACCTTTTAAAGTAATTAATGAGTTAAATTATAAGTTTTATTTATTCATCATTCTCATTCATTCATTTTTTTAATATGATTTTATGATTATTTAAAAATAAACTATTTTTGAACGATCACATAAAATTTCACAATAATAATTTATTCTCGATGATTTGACTGCAATTTTTTTTATAGGACATTAGCAAATCTTATTTGCAATGATCCTATTTCAACAAGGCATTGGTGAATAATTTACAAATTCTTCGAATTTTTATTTGGCTAATTTTGCTTTATTGTTTGTGAACAAAATTTTAAAATATATATTGGAATACATTTAAAAGCTATAATTTCTTTTTCCAAAAAAATGTATATATTTTTCGTGTTATTTTGTAATTTGAACAATGTTTAATCATATAAGTGGAGGACTTTACATTTTGAAGCAGTAAAATTAAATAATTATTGCATGCATATTAAAAATAATTGTAGAGCTTTTTTTTTTAATAAAAAAATAATTGTAAGAACTTAAAAAATAAAAATTGGACTCTTTCCTATAGCTTAAGTTTTTAAATATTTTTGAATCAAAGTTTTTAAAATATTTTGAATAATAACATGTCAAATATATTGTAATTCAAATTAACAGTAATAAGATTATCAGTGAGATCAGTATCACAATAAAATCATTAATTATAATTGTAATGATTTTAGTTAAAAGTAATTTCAACTATCACTTTTGGGTTATTACTTTTGTAAAAACTCTTGTTGTCATTTATTGTTAGAGTTCGTTTTTATTCTTACTAATAGTGAAATTTTTTAATGTTAAAATGAGAAGTTATTATATATCAAATTTTTTGATTTTTTTGAATTTTTTACTATACTTTAAAGGGTATTATTTAACTTTATATTCACGTACAAAAGCAAATTAGAAGGTTAAGATATTAAAACTTTGTTTGGTAGTTTCTTTTTTTTTTTCCTTTTTTGCAAAATAATAATGAGTAAAAAGAAAATAAAAAAATAAAAAAAGCTCAAGACAAATAGATAAAAAATTAAAAAAAAAAAGAGCTCAAGACAAATAGATAAAAAATAAAAAAAAAGCTCAAGATAAATAGATAAAAAATAAAAAATAAAGAGCTCAAGACAAATAGAAAAAAATTTTAAACAAATGAAAGCATCTACCAAACCTAATCTAAATATATATCTTAAAATCCCAAACGACCCATTTTTACCATTGAATGTACCAAGTCATTGACTTGGATCATTTTTTTTTTTTTTGAAATGCTTGTTGCAAATTTTAAACAATTAAAATTTATACTGCCAAGGTGATCATCTACTTTTACACAGTTATATATCAATTTGCCTCTTTTATTTTCATTCATTTGATATTATTCTATTTCTTATTTCGTCTCATCATATAAAGAATGACTGTTCAGTCCAAACTTCCATCTCACATTTACAGGAGTTCAACAAGGCATGCTATCTTGAATTATTCAGTTTTCCTTCCAAGTAAAAATGGAGTAAATGGTTTGGTTATTGTTTTGGCCAGAAAATGGTTTGCTTTTTTTTTTTTTTGTATAAAAGGAGAAGAAATTATAGGTTTTAAAATTTAATTTCAAATTTATTAAATTTCATATTTTAAAAGATAAATGTAAACACATATTTTGTCCAAAAAAAAGTAATAAATAAATAATAACAATAATAATAATAAATTTTAAAAAAAAGTCAAAATTTTAGTTTTAACTCTAACAATTGAAATCAAGCTACCAGTATAGTTTTTTTTCTCTACTATAGACCTAATTTTGCAGCATGAATTAAGGAACCATAAAAGTCTTCTTGAATCCCAAATTATCTGGGATTTGAAGGCTAAATTGATTTATAAAAGCCAAGCGAGGCTAGAAAAAAAAATGGGGAGAAGTAGGGGTGAGCATAAATCGATTCTAACTGATTTAACGACTGAAATTATGAAATATGATCATTTCAGTTCGGTTTAATCAATTTTTGGTTATAATCGATTTTAAGATCGGTTAAATTAGTTAAATTAATCGGTTAAAATTGATAATTGAATTAACTGAATTAACCGATCTTATAATAACTAAGGGTAAATATGTACATTCTCTTAAAAAAACCCTAAATTTAACTTACCTTTTTTAATTCATCCACCCATGCCGTTTTCCCTTTCTGCTCTTTGTTCCCCCTTTGTTGCATCTTACCGTGCCTCTGCCCTTTGCATTTTGTCTCCTTCAATCTCTTACATCTTTGCCTCCCTCTTACTCTCTTGCTTGGCTACTTGCCTCTTAATCTCTTGCTCCCTCTAATTTGCTACACAAGATCAGACAGTTGTAAAGATCAATCTACCCAAGACACCATCGTAAGTTCTTAAATCTTAATAACCTTTATTTTTTCTTTTAGCGTGATGTTTAGAGCTGTATTCTTCCTATATGTTTTAAGCTAAAGCATTACCCAAACGGCCAAACCCCAGCCCTAGGGTGTGCCCGTGGTAATTTTTTTTTGCTGGTATTTTTTAGTACCTTTTGTTGTTTAGAGTGATTCGATAGATGGACCCTATCTCTAGCCCGGAAGGAATAGGTCTAGGACTTTCAGTGGCTTGTTTACTCCTCCAGTTGATTGACTAGGTTCTGGAACAAAAGAATCAAAACCTTCCATGCCCTACGTTGGATTTACAGTATTTGTAACGAACTGTGAAAATACTCTTTTTGGTCGAGGAAAGCGCTTTAACTTATAAAAATGAAGGGAGCAGGATTTTCAATAACAATTTCTGCCAGTTTCAGCTTACTTCACTCTCGCTGGTACATTTCTATGCCTTAGCTCGTAGTTGTGTTAGCTGTAGTGCTGTCATAGACTAGAACAGAACTGTCGCATCTCCTACATCTTTGTTCGGTACACGAGTCTAGCGGACCCTGAAATTGCTGGGGTTCGATATCTATATGGAGGGCCATAAACTTTACTTTCTTTTTTTACAGATCATAAAGGTCGGACACCTATATTTCAGGACCATACAATCCTGTTACATGAAATGCGCCAAAGCCAAAGCAAGCCATTCCTAAGAAAAATAAATGAATTCCAAAAATCTTTGGCAAATCCAAAGAGGGTGAGAAGATTCACGAACAAAAGAAGGTAATAGATCCAAGAATCGATTGAAGATGTAGATGTTATCAACTTCACTCTTCGGGTTAATGACTTCTGCTTTGCGAATCCCGGATGAATGAACTCCTCCCTCTCCCAGACCAATAGAAATGATTTTACCAGCCAATTTTTCTTCATCAAATAAGCTGATGACTTGTTGGTATTCCAAGCTCTTTCTTTGCTTAATACAAAGGCATATCCTTCGAGTGATCTTCCTCAAGCTAAGCTAGGTAACTATAATGCTTTTTGCTCGCATCTTTATTCATTTCTTAAGAGTAAAGCTTTTACATTGAAGTTGAAGAAGAAGTGTTCTGTTCAATGTTAAAAAAATATTGGTATGGCAACATGGTAATGATGTGGACTAAATCAATTTGAGGATGGTCCCATAACTCATGAGCGAAAGACAGAAATCAACGAATGGAAGAGAGCCAGATGATGCCCTCTTATCGCAAGTGAGTAGATAATTTCTCTCTGACATCATAGAAGACGATTGTTTTTTGATAGCAGACTTTCTTTTTTCCAAAAGAATGAAAGTACTTACTTGATGGAGTAAGGGAGTTAGAATGCTAGACACTTACATTGTTTGTTGATAAAATAAGCAACTAATATATAGTTTGATTAACAAACTATTTCATTATTTGAATATCCAATGTGTTTAATAATTGTGTGACTATTAATTTATTATTTTTTCATTATTTGAATATAATTTTATTTTTATTTATTATTTTAATATAATATAATTATTTATTTTTTATTGTTTGGATATAATTTGATCACTTACTTTTTTTTTTTAAGATGTCAAATGAAGTGAATGATATGATTTTGGATTCTACACCTAATCAAACACAATTGGCCTCTCAACTTCCTGCATATGATGAGATAACAAAAAGTGAAATTGTAAATTACAAAGTGATGAGACGAGCATCTAAGCCATGGTCAGAGGTATGG